CTTTTTCTATCATTAAAATACCGCTGGTGCCATGTACACGCACATGCAGGCTCGCTTTTGACATATTTCCTGCTTCCTACAACATCTTCAGATTCTAGGATTTTCCAGAGTACAACACAAAATGTATCGTTAACTGCTGCTTCGTGACGTTCTACGACGTCGTCTTTTTTTGTCTTTTTCAATGAGGACTCTCTATCTTCTGAAACTGATTTTTTTTTTCAACGATGCAAACTATTAAGTCATAATTTGGAATATAAAACGATGTAGCAATTCTTAATTTGAACGTCTAGATTTTTCCGTTTTTGCGCCATTTTACAGAGAATATGATGATAGATATTATTTAGTGTATTGATTGTAATTTACTAAGTGTTGACCTGCTCCGCGTTCCGATTTCCGCATTTTTTTTTAACTCTCAATAAGTTTGAAATAAATCACGATATTTAAAAAAAATTTATAAACGTTATTCAAATTATTATATTATTGTTGAAACATTTCTGCCAAATTTGAATAAATCATGACGTTAAGTAAATAGTTATGACGGTAGTCCGCGAACTTCCGAACAACCCTCGTAGTTCATATTCCATAGATATTTTGACATAAGTTTTCCACTTTTTACAAAGTATTACTTTTTACAAAGTATTATTTAGTAAACCAAATATACACTGTAATAAACCAAAGCAACAAAAAGCAGTCTTTTATTTTGTTAAATAAAATATCAAAAATCTTTTATTTTGATGAACATTTACAGTTTATAATTGGCGTGGAGAAAAAAAAAGCAATGTTAATAACTTGCTCTCGTGAAGCCTAGAATGTTAAGCCAAACTGTCACTCGATCATTATATTTCTAGGAGTTATCACTCCTTCCCTTCGCGAGAGGTCACTTCTTTCCTTCCGGCCACTCGATTGGAATAATTTAGGTGGAACTGTGAGAGATAACAGTGGAATGATATGTATTTATTGATCTCATCCACATAATATTCATTAATATTAATGTTACTGCTTCTTTAATCACAAACTAAGACTTTTGATATTTAAAAAAAATCACAAAAGCTTTCTCTTTTTTTATCTTTGTGCATCCATAATACGAAAACTCTAGCTGTTGTTAAAAGTAGTGCAAATAAGCAAAGCCCTTTTTTCATGCTTGTGATATGAACATCAAAAGTGAGTGATGTTTTAAGCAATTCGATATGTTTTGCTTACAAATATCAATTTAAAACAAACCAGTACAGCACAAATTGACTGAATTTACTGGTGCAGCATGTCTTTAAAAATCTTCAGGGTATATAAAAGAAAGGAAAAAGTCTGGATGAATTCAAAAGCTTGCTTATGTGCTGTTAGCCGATATTGCTACTCCAGAACTTAAACAAATCTGTGAAACAAAAATATAAAAGGAAACAGGGTTAATATGTTACTATTTCAAAATAAAAAAAACTCTGCTATACAGGACAAACTGTAAAAAAAGCATTTTGGCTTGATTAACTGTGCACTTATTTCAAATGGATATCAAAAAATCGCAGTGCAGTTTTAAACGGATATGATCACATTTGTAAGAGAAGTTAAAGAGAGTAAAAAAATATTTCAATGTTTACCTTCGTCAGTCGTCGATGAGTTGTTTAAATCTGTTAACGAAACATGCTTACTTGTTTTGCGAACTGGAACTTCATTGGTTTTAGAAACTAAAAAATAAGTGACCATAAAATTATTACTATATTAACGAAAGAATCCGGAACAAATCATCACACCGACTCAATTTTATCATTTATCAAGCTTGAATGATAAAAATTTTTATATCAATGTCTCACTACAAATCATAATTTCAAAATCGATACATCAATTGCTTATGGTAATGTAAATGTTTTAATACATTATTCAGACATATTTATATGTTATCGCAAAAAGCGGAATAAAGAAATTTAAAGCTTATGAAGGACTCCTTAAGTAAAGTCAAGGTTATAAAATGAACTACAGCTAGATTGATTGTACTTAAGAAATAATGTATCATTTTTAAACATCTATCGGGATATATTTACATTTGCAAATGTTTTCTTTTATATAACACTATTAAAAGCAACGCGTATCTATATCCGTATAAACATGTATTACTATGAAAAACTTTGATCGCCCAAAGTGTGCTCTCCCTACTCTGGGGATCATGATTTGGACAAACTTGAATCTAATCTTCTTGAGGATGCTTCCATCTAAATATGACAAATCATGGCATTGCTGTTCTATAAAGAAGAATTTTAAAGATTTTTCATAAGTATTCCTTTGTAAAACTTCGATTGCCAAAAGTGGCTCCATCCTATCCTTGGAGTCATGATTTGAACATAATTGAATCTACACTACCCCCAGAAAGCTTTGATTTCACATATGTTTCATCTTTTCTGACCCAGTGGTTCTTTAGAAGAAGATTTTTAAATTACCCTACTTAATTTTTCACTATTTCTTAATTATCTCCCTTGGAAGAGCGCATGGCACTGCATTTGAACAAACTTGAATCACCTTTACTCAGGAATACTTTGTTCAAGGTTTAGTTAAAATTTGCCCAGTGGATCTGGAGAAGAAGATGAAAATGTGAAAAGCTAACAACGACGAAAACGACAGACAATGGCCAAATTTTAACAGAAAACTTCATTTGAGCCTTCGGCTCAGGTGAGCTAAAAAGTAGACGTTTTTATATTCTATATCGCTATTTCGATCTTTTGTTAAAAAAAAAATGAATCGTGCTAGAGGATTCTTACTTTTTCTTGGATTGTAAACATCATGCTGCATCGACTCCCGATAGGTGGGGATAACTGGCAGAGCTTCAGGCGGTATGTCCTGAAACAAATTCATTCAACATGACATTTTGCTAGTTAATTTGTCAATCCATGAATCATTTCATATGACCTTGCTCATCAATCGGATCATTTTTATACATTTGTTAACTGATTGCATGTCCTAATTATTATTATTATTATTTTTTTTTTTTTTTTTTTTAAATATCAAGTTATAAAATAAAAGATGTTAATGTAAATTGCTTTGTTTTCAAAGTGCAATTCAAACCAAAATTCAAAACACGGAAAAAATTTAAAAGCTACAAAAATAATAGCAATTTTTTCAATGCAATTATTTTCTGGCCAAGTATCAAAACGAGCGAAATCAAACGGGTGTTTTATATGTAATTCTTGTAACAGATATAACTTTAATTCTGTTCAAAGACGTTTGGAAAACAACATGGTATGTGCACTTTAAGGATGTCGTATAAACAATCACAAAATTTGTATAGATCAACCTTGTTTAACAAAAGATTGATTATTAATCCTAGAGTAAGCTTCTTTGGTTGATTGTATTGAATAACTTTGTTCCGTTATTTATACATTCAATAGTTATATAGATATATAGATATAGTTACATAGATATACATATATATCAAATGAATCTACAGATTACTCTCACAGGTTTACTTACATTAATAATAAAAGCCTCTTGGTCAGGATGTCTCTTCTCAGGTAACACTCTCGTTTTTCCTAAAGTTAATAGTAAACACTTTAAATGGAAAAATGTTGATTCACAACACCTTACTATAAATTCAAAATTGGGAATTACCAAAGACATATATCAAATCTACACAATTTGTGCCTTTATTATAATTCTGATATCATTTTGAGTTTCAAAATATATATTTGGTGTCTTGACTTTTAATAAAATATAAATTTATTTTTGGATTTCCAGACCTGCAAGAAGATAAACATTTAATTTAATTATGCACACAATAGGAATATTGATCCTGCGAGATTTGAAATATTGTGGAAGAAGTATTTTTACTTTGCAACATTTGAACTTCAGTTTACTATGATGTAAAAATGGTGTTTTCTTACCTTTTCTATTTTTATCATCGTCATCTTCCAGCCTTCAAAATCGAAAAAATGAATTGATTTAATGTTCGCATGGATTTTATACAAATGGATAGATAACTTGATTTCAGTTTTGCGATGAAACATTAAGAAAACTCAAGAACCCTTTCAGACAATTTCAAGAAATCTTTTGAATGTTGAAATGAAAATCGTGAAATATTTACCATATCTCACTTGCTTACTTGTATTTACGATTTCTTGTACAGACACAGAAGAGAACCGTGAACAAGACTGCTAGTAAAATCGTAACCCCTATTGTCGTCAAAACCGCGATCCCCTCAGTGGTTTCAACCCACGACTGTGTGTCAGAGATCAAAGCTTCTGATGAAGGATTTACTGACGTCACAGGAAACGTTGCAAAAGTGGGTGTGGTCAAAACGGATGCAGGTGTGCCATCAGATGACTGACGTAGAACATTTAAGATGTTATCTTGCGACATAAAGGGTTTATTCCCCTCTATTCCAGACTGGGTATCAGCTGATAGACTGTTGACAACATAAATGCTGGACTGCGATCTTAACATGAAAAACATTTTCAGTAACATTATTTGCGCAATTCCATTTTGCTTTTTTTCTCCCTTCTTTGGCACATAAATAATAAATCTGCATTTTCGAAACAATCGCAATTCTTTATTGTAAAAATCAAGTAATGTTATTAGAAATATTTATTAGTATCTATTAAAACCATGAAAATTATAATTATTTATCTTCAGATCTATCTTGTCTAAAACTATTAAATATTAGGTGGGGTAAATATTATATCATATAAAAGAATTAAGTGGTAGTTATCAAATTAATATCAAAGTAAAGGTTAGCCCTAAAATATTTGAATGTTTGAGCACTGTCAGTGTTAATAATGATATTTACGTTTCCGCCAAAAGTCGACGTCTAGCTGTCGTCGTCGTCCCAGTTATTCTCCATACACCGACCCTTGTATTGGCGGGAAACAAATTTTGAAGAGCAGCGAGAAGTAAGTGCCTGTTTTGGAATATAATCATTAGAAACAGCGTTTTATATTGTTTAACATTAGTGATACATGTATATATTTTTTTTCATTGTAAATCTAAACTTCATAACTAGGTACATACTTTGTTCTTCTATTCACTTACTTTTGTGATTCAACGGTTGTTTTAGAAATGCTGTGTGTTAGAATAACCATATGTGATCTGGGGGTCATTGTATCTACCCGAAACAAAGCAGAAGTGGCCGTCACATTGTTATTAGAAGTCTGGATTCGTACAGACATGGAAAAGAAATATCGTGTTTCTGCAAACAACTTAGTGTGATCCTTGACGTATAAATTTCCGTTTGTGGCCCCCACATCAAACACGGTGCCACCACCAATCAACTTAAATCTAATGCTGTCAGTTGCACCAACCGTGTATCCAAAATCTGTTGCTTTAATGGTTACTATGACGTCACCATTTTGTGCGGTAATGGGACATTCTAGTGAATAAAAGGGAGAGTCGCTATTCGCTGAGGCAGAGCGTGGATTATCATAAACATCAATCAAGTCGATAACAACATTCACTGTTCCAGTGAGAGAAGGTGTCCCTTGGTCTTTAGCGTAAACTACGAACGCTATTCTAGGTGAAGATTCGTAATCCGGAGAGATTGAGAGTGTCAAATGTCCAGTGGATGTGATGCTCAATGCTGACAAGGCAGTTGTGTCAGATGGATCTATCTCGTATGTAAGCTGACCATTGAGTCCGCTGTCAGCATCTGTTGCAGGCACCTGTCCGATAGTTAACCCAACTGGGGAATTCTCAACGACATTAGTGAAAGTAATTGTTGTGGATTGAAAAAGTGGTGTGTTGTCATTAAGATCATTTACTGTCACGTGTACATTTTTGTTGTAAACGAGTGCAGAGTTAATGGAATCTTGGATTTTTATTGTGAGATAGTAACTGCTTCGCTCCTCGTGATCCAAAGCACGTGCTACTTTAACAACTCCATTATTTAGCCCTATTTTAAGGTTATTATTGTAGTTGCCTGATAAAATGGTGTAAATGATGGTTGTTCCAGGATTATGTATCGGGTCAGGAAGTACTGTTCCTATTGATGTATCCATAGGAACGTTTTCGTCTACAGTAAAAGAAAAATCACTGATAGTTGGCGAGGTAGGTGGATCAATTCGTACTGCCAGAGAAGTAGAGGATGTTCTTTTTGGAACTCCTCTATCAATAGCATGAATTACCAGAGAGTATGTATCAGGAGACGAAACAAGTGACGTTAATGTCGTAACACGCCCGGTGTCTTTGTTCAAATAGAACGTGTCAGATACGTCACCACTGACAATAAAATATTCAACCACAGCATTGTCTGCCAAGTCGGTGTCATTACCATTAATTGATATCAGGTATGTTCCAACTGGATCAGCTCGTCCAAGAGTTACAGAATATGGTTCTCCAATAAAATACGGCGAATTGTCGTTAGCATCAACAACTTCGATGCTTAATGTTAAACTTCCTGTTTTTGCTGGACTCCCAGCATCAACAGCTATGATAACAAGACTATAGAGATTTACTGTTTCGCGATCAAGAAGATTCCGCAGAAGAACCTTTCCATTGTTTGGATCAACAGAGAAGCGCAGGTCATTATTTCCAGACAGAATAGAGTACGTAAGTCGAGCATTTGCCCCAGAGTCAGCGTCTGTTGCATACACAGAATATACAGCACTACTGATGTTAAGAATTTCATTTACTTTGATACTAACGACAGCTGGACTGAAAATAGGTGAATTGTCATTAATGTCTATTACAGTTATATCAACTTCTGCTTTGCTAGTCAAGGAGGGAGTGCCACCATCGGCGGCCTGAACGATGAGCGCATAATAACTTCTGAGAGGCGCATTTAACACTGAGTTGACCTGAAGTTGTCCAGTGGATGGGTCAATGGCAAAATCAGCGCTGTTTTCGCCAGATATAATCGAGAAACTGAGTACAGAATTTGCCCCAGTATCTTTATCGGAAGCTGTTAGGACTCCTACAATAGTATTGATCGAACTTGTTTCCGAGATTGTGAAAGAATACTTCGGAACAGAAAATATCGGTTTGTTATCATTGATATCACTTAGCGTCACCGTGACAGTGATCAAATCTCGCAGTGTTGTCTGCTGAATGTTTACTGCGCTAATTGTTACGTCATAGCTCGCAGTGGTATCTCTGTCCAGAATTCCAATCACACTCAATTCCCCAGTATTTTCATTTACTGCGAACTTTCCTTCCGAATTTCCAGCAGTAATGGTGTAAGCCAGGTCTTTGTTCTCTAGTGCACCGCCAATTGTTGCATCGGAATCGAACACAGTTGTTCCAACAACTGTATTTTCTGGAATGGTAGTGGTCTGAACGTTAGAAGCAAATCGCGGTTGTGGATATACTGGTGTGATTTCTATGTCGACCGTGGCAGTGGAGGATCGACTGGGGATGCCTTTATCCTTGCCTTCAATAAGTAAAACATATTTATTGATAGTTTCGTAGTCTAAAACTGAATTAACTTCGATAACGTCTCCAGTTATCCTGAAAGCGTTAACCGTGTTTCCTGCCACTATCGATAATGTCACATCACTGTTTACGCTACTGTCTGCGTCTGTACATGTGACCTTTAACACTGACCCACCAACTGGATAGTTCTCGATCACCTGTGTGCTATACACATTTTGTGAGAAAGTTGGATCATTATCGTTTACGTCTGTAATAGTCAAAGCAAGAACGGCGTCTTTGACTTCTCCCTGGCCATTGTTGGCGGAAATCGTTAAGGAATATGTTGGGGTTGTTTCCCTATCAAGAAACTTGGTCAGAAAAATGTTTCCAGATTGAGGGTCTATCGCGAAAGAGTTGTCATTCCCCAATGTGATAGCGTAAGTGATTTGTGACCCCACGTCCAGATCTTGAGCAGTGACAGAAAATACAAGCGTCCCAAGAGCAGTGTTCTCAGAAAGAGAATGAGAGTAAGCTCCCCCTGTTGTCAAAAACTCTGTCTGAAACTCGTTAAAATTTGTTACTTGTAACAACACAATTGTTGTTCCTGTTAGTTGAGGCGTCCCGCTATCTGTTGCTGTCACTGTTAACATGTAAACTGTCGTCGTCTCGGCATCCAGAGCTGCCTTCAGCTTCAACTTACCACTGGTATCAATTTCAAACTTACTTTCAGCGTTTCCACTGACAATAGCGTATGTTACAGCACTGTTGGGACCAGCTTCGTCGTTGTCTATTGCCACTAAGTCCTGAATCAGGGTTCCAACACCGATATTTTCAACTACCGATGTTTCGTAAAATGAAGAGCCAAATTTCGGAGCATTATCATTATTGTCTAATACTGTAATTGTAAGAGTGCTGTCAGCTGTTTTTGATAAATTAATATCAGTGATTCTGATGCTTAGAGTATACAAAGAAGTGGTTTCCCTGTCTAAAGCAGAAAATATAAATACATTCCCTGTGTAAGAATTTATCTTGAATTTATTATCCGCATTACCACTTATTATTGAAAATGACTTAAAACCGGAAGCAGAGCTCCCCAAGACATCAAATACAGAAGCACCCAGCGGAGAGGTTTCATCAATGGACACAGTGCCAGGCATGTTTGTGAACAGTGGATCTGACTGCAAGGTTATATGAAGAAACACAGTGGTCGAAAGGGGCGTCACGGCGGAATCAGATGCTACAATTGTTAGTTGATAATTAACATCACTTGGCAATTTGTTGTAGACCACACGGCCGTCTGTTTCAACACGAAAATCCGTGTTCGTATTCCCTGCAGTTATAGAATAAACAATAGCACCATTCGGTCCTGGTGCATCATGGTCTGAACATACCATTGTGTATATATTTGACCCGATTGTAAATGGTGGACTTCCGGTTACCTCGGCACTTATTGCACAATCTGGAGGGTATTCGTTTACATCCTGAACAGATACGGTCATGGTGGCTGTACCCGTTTTCCTATTTACTTTAGCTTGGTCAACAGCCACAAGTACGAGTTCATAGGTAGATAGGGCCTCACGGTCAAGAGGTCGAATTGGAACAATTTCTTTGGTGGTGCTTTTGATGGCAAAGGCATCAGTGTGAGTTGTCAGTGAGTAAACTATCGATCCGTCAACACCAGCGTCGTTATCAGTAGCAGCAGGGAAAGTCATAGCCACACCTGGAAAATGATATAGTTAAAACTCGTTGTGAAATTTCATATTCATTGGTAGTAAAGTAGCTGCAGGCCATTTAACACATTTAAGACAGTGCTAATAATAAATTAACGTGTCTTCTGCAATTTCATAAAAACATACATGAAACATTTTACAAGATTGAGTTTAATGTCATGTTTATTAAAGCATAATAAAGTATTGTAATTCACAACAAACCTGTTACTGAGTTTTCTTGCACTGTTCCCGTAATAGGTCCTGTAAATGTAGGCGTGAACTCATTTATACTGGAGATTGTGATGTAAACGTTCACAGTGGAAGACAATGCTGTGGGCGTGCCACTATCTGTCGCTTTCACAACAAGGCTACAGACAACAGCTGCCTCGTAGTCTAAAGCAGAGGTTGCGGAGATCACACCGGTTGTGGCTCCAATAGCTAAGGAGCACCCAGCTCCCGCGTTTCCACCTGTTTGGCATTAATTAGTAATTATAAAAAAGTATTTTCTGCCAACATTTTAATTTTGTAAACGAATTATTGAATTCTAGTATGTAATCAATATGCATAAAAGTAAATAAATACAAAAATGATAACCACGCGTTCTGAAACGCAAAAGAATAGGACCAATTTGACAGAATTTGATAAAAGAAATATTCATGTTCATGAAACCAGATGACCATTGAAATTGTTAACAACCAAAACCAGTAAAGCTGACAAACTATACGAGTGTTAAAGATACTCATTCAAAATGATAAATGTTTGGCCATGGATGGTGAATTGCATAATCCAGTTTGCATATAAAATGGGTAATACTTCTGCGCTTTGAATTTTTGCGATTTCATTCTGCAACAGTGAAAGATTTTGGGGAATTTTCATTTTTAAATATACCTCATTTGCAAAGTGAACTTATTTTTTCTTGCCATTCATTCTGCATCATAAATAATTGGATACTAAATAGAAAGTCAGTTATTGTGAGATTTGTATTCATCCAAAATTATTTAAAAATAGTATTTTATACATTTATGCAGATAAAATCGTTAAACTCGTTTGAAAGGGGTTTTTTGGTCTCTCGCATAAAATATGAATTTCTGTCAAATATCAACCCATGTTGACTTTACTACATAAATAGGCTACCCGTACTTGTTATTGCATAACTGATTTGTCCATTAGTACCCAGATCCGGATCTTGCGCAGTCACAGTTATGATTCCGGTGTTTATAGCTGTGTTTTCAGGAACTGTTACATGGTACGTGCTCTGGTAAAACACAAAAATGTCTTAAATACAGTATAGGTTTATGTCATGCGTTAATATAAATTTACCTTTAATATTTGCATGTTGTTTCAAATGTACATGTATCTGAGTTACAGTGATGAGACCAAAAGTTCTGCTTTGATCTAGATTGAGTTGATCATTCTTGTCGCGGAATCGAATCTCACTCAAGGACATGGAGACAGGTTCGTATAAACCAAGGTCCCGTGTCACAGGAGATTGTACATCTTTGGCAATTGATGGCGTCCCCATATGCATGAAGTATTCTCGAGAGGACATATAGCAAACCATTTCCAACCAGCCAACCAAATTTCTTACCAAATTTCTTACAATATTAAGAAGTTGCACTTTAAAGAATATCGTAACATATTTTTAGTAGAACACCATTTTTGATTTGAGTATTTTTACCTGGGAGAAAGTTGGACTGTTGTCGTTAATGTCCGTCACTGTGACAGCTACCGTTCCCAGGATTTTAGACGCTATCTGATTGGATGAATGAGCAGAAACACTTATGACGTAATTATCTAGGACCTCCCTGTCAACTCCATCTCTTGCAAGGTAAATTCTACCTAAAGAGTAAAAGGGAGAAACTGTACGTGACTTAAACAAAAGTTTTGCATTGCCCATAATTTCACTCTTCAATATTAAACTTGGTAAAAGTGTGTATGAAAAATTACCAGACTTCGATTCTATTCCAAATAGAGAATTTACGTCCTCGATTTTGTATGTTACTTCAGCATCAAAAGTTCCGGCTAGGTCTGCATCAGTGGCACTTATCATCTGTACAAATGTCCCCGCAGCAGAATTCTCAGGCAAAGCTAAATATAAACCAACAGACCTCAGAGCCCGCATTACACGAGCAAGGGATAAATAAATTGTATATTATCTGTGTACTAAATATTTATAATTTTTCTTCATTCATTTAGCAAAACAAAGAAGACAAAAGTAAACTGTGTAAAATTGTGCCCAAATAGAATTACTTGCAGTGTAGGCTCCATTAGTAGGAGTTTCCCACAGTGGAACATTGTCGTCGATACCCGTGATGTAAACATCGATCGTCACTGTGGTTGTAAGCGCAGGCGCAGGTCCGGCATCAGCAACTTCCGTTATCAATCTGTATTGAATGGCCTCTGTGTCGGCATCTATCTGACTCTTCAGTTTTAACAGTTGTCCAACAATTTTAAATTTATCAAGAGCATTCCCTGTAGATTTTAATAAATACATTAATAATATAAATAATTAACTTCAAAAATCTTCAAAATTTCAATATTCCTAAACATGGTTTTAAATTATAGGCCTTTAATACTTAGCAAATATTGTATAAAGTTTCATACCAATCACACCATTTACCTATGGTGTGATTTTCATGACATATAGATTTTAAACTTAAATCTCCTATTGAGGCCTCGTTCGGAAGCTGTGAGAAGAATTATTTCTTTTCCTGTTATATACATCATTCTAGTTTTTTTCCTTAAGGATTTTTAAGTGAAACCACCCTGTTTTAATTAATATTTTTTCCAGTTATCTCCATTTGGCAAGATAAACGTGTTTTTTTTCACCTTAAGAAATATTTCGAGATAAGTTTGCTTTAAATAATCTAGCCTTCTGGAGAGGATGAAAATGTGAAGCTTAATACTCTGGATCATACTAACATCTACATGTATTATATGCTCAGATTAAAACTTGACTAGATTTAGAAAATCTCATGCGACCCTTTGGTTCTGTTAAGCCTAAAACAGACTATACGTGGAGTACCTGCAGTAATGGTGTAGGTCAGCGCACCAGCGTCTACGTCACTACAGCTAATGTCCTGGAGCTGACTGTCAACAGCAGTGGATTCCGTTAATGTAAGAGCGAAGTAACTGGCTGAACACACCTACAACAGAACACCATCTACATTGTAGTACGGTAAAACACGCGCCTTTACCGAAGGACCAGGGACGAACGATTTTGATTCGTTATAAACGTTATTCATTAAACATTATAAGTTTATAATGCATTTATAAAACTAAAGGAAATAAAAAAATCGCTTTGTTGTTTCCAAGAATTCATTATAAGTGTGTTTGCGGTAAGCGTGTTTATTGTAATCAACATGTCACGAAGCACAAAAGGATAGATGACCATTCTTGTTGATCAACTGGAATTGCGTCGTAGAGGGGTAGACATTTCTTAATTTTATCTTTATTAACTCTCAAAGTCGGTAAAGCATGCGAAACATCGAGAGGAAATGGCACTATAGTAAAACAATTTATTGGCATTTTGGCATTTTTAATTCTTGGCATTCTTTGATGCCAAATAATTCCTATATAAGAATAGAACTTAATTTCATACTCACAGGTGCTTTGTCATTGGCGTTAAGAACATTGACAGTCAACGTGGCAGTTGACATTTTCTGAGGTGAAATTCCTTGATCCACCACCTGTACTGTTATCGTATGTGTCTGGGCAACCTCGAAATCGAGCGGTTCTTTGAGATACATTGAAGCCGTGCTGGGGTTAATTGAAAATTTAGATGAATCAGCTGATGCTGTTTGAATGAAATGCAAAGAAAATGTATTAGTTTAAAGAATATATTGACTGTGAATTAGAATTGCAAAGAAATTGATAACTATTGTTGACACTAATACTTTTGATCTTTCCTGGATAAATTATTAACATACTTATACGTTGATTAAACTTACTTATACGTTGATTATTTAAGTAGATATCCGTTGATTGTGAATATTAATTATTGCATATTACATTTTCAGATGGCATTTCTTGATTCCCAGATACTTGTAACAGCATTAAACATGAGGCCCATGGGCTATAAGGCTCCATAATGCTTTTTTAAAATTGACAAAAGCCCTATCAACACGGACTGTTATTCAAAATTTATAACTTCCTAGGAAACATTTTCAGCCAAAACCAGACTTTTTTTATTTAACAATTGTTTCTCCATTTAATAACTTGTCTAAATATAAGTCTTCTATTTATGGATAATACTGCCGAAACGGTGCTCTCAAATTTACTAGCAGTTAGAAAGCTTTATTAGTGTATTCAAAATTCGGCATAAACATGGGTCAGAAGACTATTTGGTAAAGCGTATAAGGGCTTTGAGTCATTCTGTTTCTATCTAAATCATATTTTTTTGGAATTTATATATATTAGCACACAAAAGGCCTCAAAATATATTCCCGCTAAATAAATCAGCATGAAGGAATCAGTGAACCTTGAATGGACGATACAGTTGTCTGCGCATTGGCTGAGTCTATTTTGTCAGTATCCTGGACAGTCAGCTGATAGAGAAGGGTCCCAACTGACATACTTTCGCTCACGTCAACAGATGGCGTTGTTTGATGGAATGTCGGAGTCATCTCGTTAACTGACGAGATTTCAATATCTATTGTGACGTCACTCGAGAGTTGTGGAGTACCTCCGTCCGTTGCACGCACTACTAGCTACAAAACAGTCATCAATTTATTGCCAACTATTGTATAAAATCATGCTATAAAATTATTAGTTGAATATGAAAAAACTATATGTGCATATTTAATGAACGTTATGTTATCCACACTTGTATTCAAATGTTCGTCTATAATCTAAGAGCAAATAATTATTATAGAAAACCACAGCTTACATCTCTTGATTGATTGAGAAACACTCACTTGAAATGCTGCACTTGAAGAAGATTCAAAATCTATTATTCCATCAGTCACCAGTCTGACGTCACAATTTCCCGCATTATTCTGCACATCAAAAGCCCCCGCTGCATTCCCAGAAACAATGGAATAGGTCAAAGTTCCGCTGGCTCCACTATCCGCATCGGTACATGTGAGTGTAGTCAATACGGATGTGGCTTTTTGGTCCTCAGATATGCTGAGAAAGACATAGCTGTTTGTACATTTCTGAAGAGAGAAAAATTATCGATCATATCAAAGTTCTTGTAGCCATTGTATAAATAGAAACCATTCATGTAAAATTTTATATATGTAAATATTGAAAATGCATCATGTTTTCAATAACATATTCCTCGACAATAGATATATCGTTTAATATATGATAAAGTCAGCTCCTTCCATACTTTGCAATGTTTTATGAAAATCATAGGTGTTCTTACATATACGTCAAGACATAAAATTACTTGATAAATATTTTCTGAGTGAAAAAAAATATTTTGAATTGTAAATGAGCATTATTTTTTTTCTCAGTAGAGAATTGAGTCTGCAGATCGTACTGGTGTATTGTCATTTATGTCCTGCACTGTCACCAGAATGTTTGAGGTTGCCTGTTGCTGTGGTAACAACCCCTGATCCGTGACGACAATGGTGAGGTTATGTGATTGCGTCACTTCATAATCCAGACTCTTTCTTAGATAGAGTCCCGCCATGTCTCCTATAAAGAACTTGTCGGCCCCTGTTCCGCCTGAAGATGAAAAAGAAAGAAAATATACTTAAAAAATAAAGATGAATTTCCTTTGTTGCAACCATGTATTCTAGATTACTCAAAAGTTAGAAGTTTTGTCAGGTGGTGGTATTCTTATACCCAATGGCATTTTTTACCGCAGTGTCAAACAGTGTTGTATGCTGTATATTTTCAATCAAATCAGCGTTAGCTTTGGAACGGTTAAATTCACTTGGTTTAACTGGTGCCTATTTTTTTTTTTTTTTTTACTATCAAGAGATTGATAATAAAATCGATTGCATTTGTTTTACAATGGCCTGTTTCATTAACTTACCTTTTTTGTATTACTTGTTTTTTAATAGTAATTTTACAATTTGTCATTAAGGTTTGTAGTTGTATGCAACTTGTTCCTTGTTCGTGACTATCTACTTAAAACTCTTTGCCATTACCTGTTTCACTTTACACTGTAAAGCATCGTTTTCCATAAAATTTAAACGTTGTAATTTGTACATTTTTAGCATTTCCTGTTACGTTTATAAATTGCTTCTTTTCATCTGTACTTTTCGTACTTGTATTTTTCTTTTTATTACCTGTAATAGTTATTTTGTACCTCTTTGAAGTTACCAGCTGTTATGATTTGTATTTTTCTTGTTATTATCTGTTATACTTATTTTGTATCGTTTTGACGTTACCTCTGATAGTAATAATTTGTATCTTTTTGTTTTAACTTGTTATAGTTATTTCGCATTTGTAAGAAGTTACCAACTGTTCCAACTTGTATTTTTCTTGTTATTACCTTTTGTGATAGTTATTTCGTATCTTTAAGACGTTACCTTTTTTTTTCATTTTTTTATTTTTATTTAGTATTTTTTTTTTTTTTTTTTTTTTTTTTTTTTTTGTAATATCCTTTAAAGTTATAATTTGTATCTTGTTATGTTATAGTACGGAAGCCCAATAGTGCAAACCAAAAATAAATAAAGAAAAAACGAAATTATTAAATAAAGAAAAACGAAATTATTGAATAAAGAAAAACGAAATTATTAAATAAAGAAAACGAAATTATTAAATAAAAAACTGAAACTAAAATACGGAATTTATAGATGTGCATGGTAAGGGCCTGAACCCATGAATCATTCCATAAAGCACACGTGTTCTATGACCTGATTTTGTTTCGACATTAAAACAAGTGTGATATTTGCATTTACACTCAGCTATTCCCGTATCGATAACATAACCAGTTGGAGTAGACAATCATAATAGATGAATAGGGGAGAATTTTACCATTGGTTATCCAATATGCTTAGATCTATGTTTTTATCTTACATTAACATGATTAATGTGAACTTAATTTGACCAGTCTGACGAATTGGCCAGTGATGACAAGTTTACGTTAGTATTAGCTTTCTTAAACCCTCAACTCAGAAGGTCTAATTATTAGCAAACAATGAATCTGGACATGAAACATCAAAGAGATTATGCTAATAAATTGCACAAATATTTAAGATATACATGTCTGTTAAGATTCCGTTGTTTACAATTGCTGAACCTTATAACATTTAGGAAATTCCCATGGTTATACATCTTTTTTTCAATTATAGCACAGTACAAAAAATGCTGTAAAATGATACGTTACCGATCGGAACCCATTATAATTTATTGTTTAAAGAGAGCAAGTGCAAAAATTAAACAAGACAAAATTGTTACAAAAAGTATATTTTAATGATTGCTTATTTTATTAAAAATTAAGCAAAACACCTCTAATTTCTTGCACAGGCGCTCCCCATGTAATTCTGTAAATGACGAATGATAAGAATATATATATATATATATATATATATATATATATATATATATATATATATATATATATATATATATATATAGGTCTACCCCTCAATACTATAAAATCAACCTTGTTGATTTTATAGTATTGAGGGGTAGACCTATATATATATATATATATATTCTTATCATTCGTCCTTTACAGAATTACATGGGGAGCGCCTGTGATTTCTTGGTCATTTATCAAAGCATAATTATAAGTGATGCACCAAGTATTAGCTTTCCTAAAAAGCTTGTCTGACTTGAGCAAATTTATTTTTACGCGAAAAAGCCCAAATGAAATGACGTAAGCTGCATATTTCCAGTTTTGTCAGTGAATGTTCCGTGGTCTTATTGTTTTGTACGATTTGGACGTTACCTGTTATATAGTTGTAATTTGCATCATTTTATTATTACCTGTTATAGTTATTTTGTAGCCCTGTACCTCGTCATTTCCGTTGATAAGGAGGATGTCGTCATCTGTGACAGCGATACCTAACATCATCACGTTCGTTGCCTGATTTTCAGGGACCGTAACTGTGTATGGCACACCCGTAAACACAGGAACATTGTCATTGGCTGATAATACCTCAATGTTTATTGTGACGTCACTTGTTAATGACGGGGACCCTCCATCAGCAACTCGAATGCCCAACTTAAATAAAATGAAATTTGAAAACTTTTCTTCTGTTAGATGTCGCTAAATGAAACAAATTTACTTGGTATCAAATTATTAATTTAATGATTAGAAAATTATGTTACCGAGTATGATCGAGTTCCAAAATCAAAGTCTGGCTGCGTTACAGTTTTCAAATCACAGGAAGTACCAAGCTCCCAAGCAGCCTCTCCGTTTCCAGAAATGATAGAGCATGTTAGAGTGCCGTCTGCTCCGGTATCCGTGTCAACACATCCTAAACTTACCACAGTGGTAGCAGGCGTCACTGTTTCCGAAATCGTCACCAGTCGGGTGGTTGGGTTACAGTCTGGTGCAGTATTGGCACCTGTATTGAATCAATGTGACATTTGATGGATGGCTTGGAATTTTAAAACATGCCAGAAATTTTGTGCATGTAATGATCTATCTGATTTTTTTTATTATTTGTTAATTTGTTTTATTTTTGGAAGACTGAGGGAAAAAAAAAGAAAACAACAATCATCAAAATACGTCTTTCAAAATCCCCATTTTGGGTGATATTTCCTTCAAGAATTTAACGTTTACCATTTTTCAGAGTTCTATACCGATACCGAATAATGTAATTACATTTATGTTAGAAATTTTGATAAGGGAAGAAAAAACAAAATTATATAGTTAATGATGCAAAATTTGTTCGTGTCTTTTATTGCAATTTAATGAAGTAATGAAACTGATAGGTTTTTCAAAGAAAATAAAGATAAAAGCCTCTTTTCCATGATTGAAAAAGGCAAATTAAAAAAATCAAGGGACCTGATTCGTAACAGAAGATTATCTATTGAGTAAGTGTTCGTGCATATATAGATTGATTAACCTGTCCATCAGCTTGTTATTTTCCCTTGTGATTTTTTTTTTTAGATAAATAAATTTTCTTACTCTCTTTCTGTTTTAAAGATGTAATACGATACTCTGTACTTACTTTAGCCATATTTGTATTTCTGACACAATTCTGTGCTCGTTAAATTAAAAATTCCACCAGATTATGATTTTATAGAATACTTTACAAAGAAAGCATCAATTCCAGACAGTTAAAAAATCCACGAGATCTACATTTGCACTAAATTTTGAATACCGCAAACGTAAACAAACGGTATATGTAACATTTCTCAGGGCCTTGTATTAAGCATATGGATGAACATTTAATATGTCGAGTGATGGTATCAACTATAATTAAGTAAACTCTTACGTACATTTTATACCTTTGTAATGATATTTAGAATGTAATGATGTAAGGGGGAGGAGAAATCAAATTATAAATGGCAAAATTAAATTAACCTTTAAAAATACTAGATATTTCATTTATAAACCAAGCAAAGTCGATATGGATCCAAATTGATGAAATTTTAACATTAAATCTTGTTTATCGATCATAGATATTTTTTTCCGATAAAAGATTGATATTTGCATGTTTAACCGTTAGGGAAATATTGAAAATATTTTAAATATGAAGTTTAAGAAAAGTCGGAAAATGTACCAGGGTTGTCCGGTAAAATCGTGGACAAAGCGTTTTTCTCGGAAAATAATGGGCGCACTGAGCTGAAATTTTCAGCAAATGCTTATTCATCATATCTAAGTGCATGTTATTTTTTTTTTAATGAAATATAGACAAAAATAAAGATTTTATTATACTTGAATGTGCACAGGGTACGGTCCTACGGCGCACGATTAAAAAACCAGGGTTTCATTAGCGAATACACGAGTATTAGTATTTAATAGATAAGGTTGGGGTAAAAATTAATCTATTTTTAATCCACTTTCTATTATTTCGTCTTTTGTAAAATATCAAGGCATTTGCTCAATTTTTGGCAGTTTCCCGAGCATTTAAAATGGGAAAGTGGTAAACGCAACACAAATATAAAACCATCACTAGATATATTTAGTATACAAGTGAAATGGGAGTTTTCTAAGCGGAAGCTTTTTGATCGGATCCCCGGGTAGAACAAAACATAGGGACAAACTGCCAATAGCAAAAGACGCTATCACTGTAGACTGTCGATATAAGATAGCCTATTTAGTTGAATGGTAGTGAGAGTACTGTCAGAAGTTCCCATGTGTGTGCGAAATTGGTTCCTCGACTGTTTATGGAGGAATAAAGGGAAAATCAAGTTTGTGCATCAATGAAATCCCCGAATTTAAGAGGGGTTTATCTAATTTTTATTTAGCATAGAAGAAACGTAATGCTGCTTTAGACACTTTGACGTTATCATCCGTGCGCCGTAAGGCGATACCAGACATAACATAAAGTCTCATATTTTGTTTATTTGAGCAGATATCTATTTGAAATTTGTATATTGATGAAAAATGTATTAAAAAGTAGTGAAAGTTTTAGAACGCAGTGATGATTATTTTTCAATCTAGAAAACTTGTCCACGATTTTACCGGACAACCCTCGTAAATATAAGAATAAGTACGTTTTTCCGAACATTTTCACTCTGTCGCGATCTCCCAAATGATAATTGAAGTCCCGCCAAGATGAAAAAAAAAAGAATAATTACAAGTGCATAAAATATTGAACAGGGCCTGAATTAAAAAAGGTTTGACATCAAAAAATGATGTTTGCAAAAAGTTTTCTATGAGTTAAAATTTAAATAAATTTGAAGTGAAATAAATAGTGTTTATTGATATATAAAAGAAACTTAGTTACTTACCAACACAGCAAACAAAGACGTGAAGAATAATATGCGTAGCGATATTTATCCATAACACTGTGATCCCCATCCTGATAAATTAATTCCTATGTATCCAAAATTCCCAACCCCATTTAAAATTAATGTATTATTTTTTTTTTAAATAAAAATTGATTCTGATTTGAATTCTAGGGCTAAAAAAGGAATATTGTCGACTTCTCTTTCTTTAATACTTTAACTTACACATATATTTAACCAGTGATTGTATATTTTCTTTATGAAATATTTTTTTTAATATTCTGACTCAAACATAGTTAACGTCTCATACTAGGTAACCAATGGTTACAGTCCCTGTGTTAAATGTACGTAGATCTTCATAGACCGAACATGAATGAAAATATAGCTGTTCACAAAGACATGCCAAAATAATTTATTTTATTTTATTTGATCTGCATTTTTGTATCATTTAAAGGTAAATGACTGAATAGCTTACCTATAGGTTTGTTAATTTCAATGAACCACTGTACTGGGGGAAAGGATTGAACCGTATAGAAAAAAGGGGGATTATTTCACATCACTGATCGAATTAGTTCCCTAAATACTTGTTTTATTATCCTCATCAAATAAGAGTGTATAAAAAAAATATTCTATTTCACCACTCGATACATGAACGTATAAACAGTACATCTTTAAAACAGATTTAAGAAACCTTTTAATAAAATCAAGAATAACAAGATTGTCAATGTAAATGCTGGCTTCAAGGGAAATTCTAGTTTGTCCAAACCATCTCCCTTAACAAAAGATAGAGGACTAAAAGTTTCCAATGAGGATTTAGAATACATTTTTTTAATTTAAAAAAGGGATCTTTTAAGAGAAAGAAGTCTTCGACAAAAACAAGATCCCTTATGAAAAGTATGCGTAGCCAATTTTGTGAGCAAATAATAGATGGACATACCTCAAATTGAATGCATAGATCAAGGTCAAAACCATCAAATTTACAATTTTGATAATTCGTAAAAATAATCAGCTTTTCACATATTCTGATATACCAGTTCTTTAGGGCTAGGATAGGCCGCAGGATGGCTGTTTATATCTAGATGTAAAGAAAATTCTGATACTCTGTTTTAAGGGAATGATCGAATCGGAAACATGGGCTGGCGAAGATGAGATTTAAATTTGTTTGATAGAAAAATTATATTTAAAAATAACACATGAAGAGAGAAAAGGGAAAAGAATTATAACATTTAGATAAACAATAAGATATATAAGAAATTTAAAAAGAAGATGGAATATAGTCTTTGTAAATTATTTTTATAAGCCATTCAACAGTGTAAATATCAGTAATAAGGTATCATTCTTAAACATCTATCAGGATATAGACATGGGTTAGTCACTTGATCAAATTCCATAATATGGTAGAGTTGAACACCCACAACCCGTTTCTATCTAGATATTAAGATATTTATAAAAAAAAATCATCTTAATGCTTCTAATTATTTTTAATTTGTGACTCAAGTATGAAGTGTTTGCTCAGTAATTTTCGGAGATTCATAATTTTTCTTTTTCTTATCTTTTTTTTTCCCAAAATCAACAATTTAAGGAGTGATTTGCGTCAAATGTTTACTTATCAAAATATTCAAGTTTATTTACAAAATATGTCCTCATATCAAGGTGCTAGAAATAAAAATCATATTTTTCTTTCCTTCTTACAATTTCACAACTTCACATTGAACTGGTCAAAGGGAGTTTAAAATCTAGCAGAAGCGTAGGATATCATATTTTCTGCTTGTCAAATTTTCTTAGGAAAAATAAAATTAATTTATGTTTTTGAATAAGAAAAATCTTAAATCAATTTCTGATATTTAAAATTAATTTTGAATAATTTCAGAATACTATAAATAAATGATTTTTAACTAAACTTTTATGTTTTCAGTTTATGTCTGTCTATAAATAGATCTGAGTTAAAAACAGGGGCGGATCTAAAGGGGGAATTTCCAAAGTTATTTCTATGTAAAATTAACAAAAATATGACTTTAGACACCCATCCATCCGTCCCCGTAAACACTGATCCCTCTTAAAACGGTAAGGAGAGTCATGTATTTGAAGAAAATGGAATTAGGAAAGTGTCATTCTTTTATCCTTGTTTTCTTGCATGTCAAAAAGTTCCGAATGTGACATGTGGACCCCCTAGGAAATATCCTTGATCCATCCCTGAAAATCAGTAAAACGTGTTCTTTCTCTCTTCTTAAAGGGGTAATATTTTTCTGCTCTAATTTCATTTTATATCTGTATATGATTTCTTCCACATATGTAGAAATAAAAAAAACCTTGAAGACATGTAGATGAAGCCCAGGGAAAAATAATTTATGATATATTATAATGAATGAATGACAATCAAACTCAAAATCCAATGAAACAATGCAAATTGGGAGCAGAGTCAGTCAGCATTCGAATTAACGACATATTGCTTTTGCTAACAAGGTCACCGATCAATCATACATTTGCGAAATGTTGACTTTAAGCGAGACTAATAATATCCTTGTATCATCAGCTTATTTGTTAATAGCTTACCTCGTTTTAGAAATTGTTCGAAAGTAAATTCTCTTTCGTATCGAATCAACTTGGAGACGTAAATTCCATATGCGGTTGATAATGGTTTATTGCTACATAAATAAGAGAAAGAAGAAGGTACGGTTTTAGCTTTATTGTGCCCTAAAAATTTAATGTTTTCAAAAAGTTTTGAAACTGGCTTAAATATTAGTTGAGTATATGACTGTGATGAATCAGGAAAGAATATGGCACAAAGGATTACCATTTTGGAAAAATGACGTCATTAACTTGATGAATTTCTCTACTTTAAACAGAAAAAGCCTCAAAATGACCAATTTCAAGGGTTATTTTCCTTAAGAAAATAGTGTCCACAGCCGTTGCCCACTTTAATTTTCGGATATGTTGTGTAAAATTCTTTGAAAAATCACATATCTCAACATCTTTGTGGGCGATGCCTGAAGACAATATTATCTGAACGAAAATTTTATTGAAAATAGGTGTCTTTTGCAACTTTTTAAGAAAATACGGGAAATTGCACAAGTTTATTATGACGTCAGAATTAGCATTTAGAGGGTTATGTGAGAAAAAAAGATTTGTATGATCTTTCTGCATGGAATTTCAATTATTCAGAAAGCATGAGTTTTAATTTTTTACATCACTTTCATCTTTAAGAAAAACACAGGGCAAGATTAGCATTGAAACCGTACCTTGTCCTTGTTGTTAGGTTACCATTAATGTTTTTTTTCTTGTAAAATATCCAAATATGAAACAGATGTGCTAGATTCTACGGTATCTTTTAATTCGAGTTCAATTCGGATAAATCTTAATATGTGTTATTTTCTAATGTATTTTCTTATGTATTTACACCAAAAACAAACATATTTTAATATAAAAGTGTGTATCATATGATATGGACTATTATTATTTTTTACCTTTTTAGGGAAAAAAAGATAATAACATTGCAACTAAATGATGCAGTCAAAGGACAAGGTATGGTAACGGCCAAATCTGGCCCCTTATTTGATGTAAAAATCGGAACACAGTTAAAACTATGATAGTTTGTTGTTAAGAACTTAAAAAAAATTATGCTTGTTTTAAAACCAGCACTAATTTTCATTTAAAGCTTACGCAGCGGTACAAGAGGGTGCAGAAGCAAGACATTTTCCCGAATTTCCTCAGTTCTGGTGGAATTTCGTCAAATTTAAGATATTTTTCACTTCGGGAAACAGAGAGCACAGGCTTGTCTATCTGAGATTTTTATACACAAGATGCATCTGATACTAGTATATGAAATATATAAATTTGTTGGATAGGCAAACTTGTGCTCTAAGTTTACTGAAACAAAATGTGCTGTAAAATAGATGAACATTTGCATATATAACAAGAGGCCCAAGGGCCTTAACGGTCACCTGAGTATAAAACAACAATCCATAGAAGATCCATAGAGT